CTCTCTCTCTCTCTCTCTCTCTCGGACACGCACACTGTCTTCTCTGATTCATTGACTTGTAAATATATCGGTTTTTCATGCTATTGGATGGAATGTGTAGTTTACCAAATTGACCTTTTATATTTTTTTCGGAAAATTCATAAAAGTGCTTATTTGTGATTTTGGTAAAAAATAAGGTTAAAAATATTTTTTATTTAGAAATATATTATAATAAATTTTATTTTTAAAAAAATTATTTTTTGATATGATTATATAAAAAAATTAAAAATATTAACAAAATATAATCTTAAATAAAAAAATTAAATTTTAAACAAATAATATTTTAACTGTAATACTGAAAATATTATTAATAACCAATGCTAATTTTCCTGTAAAATATTTAATAGAAAAAAATTTAAAAAAATAATTTAAAAAAATAATTCCTTGTAACAAAACAAATAATTTCTTCAAAAGTTTAATTATCTTCAATAACAAATTAGCTAACCACCATCGCACGCTAATTGTCCGCGGCTGCGACCATAGCTGCAATAGGCAATGGTTTGGTGTCCGTCCTTCTTCGCCATCATTCTAAAGCGAGCTAAAACCTAGAAGTGGTGGCGTCAACCTCTAGTCAAATTCACTCCCTCGTTGAAATGACACGCTACCAAAAACAAAACCATATTGCCGTCACCTTTTTTCTCAAATTTCTAGAAACAAAGAACATTAAGAAAAAGAAAACTCAAGCAAAATACCATGGCTATAGATCATTAATTTCTATTTTAATTTTTAATAAAAAATAAATTCATAATTTGAATTAAAAATGATAATTGCCTTGCCCACCACCTTATGTATTGTTATTTTTTGAGGTATATATACCATTCGATTTTATGGGACTCTATCAATAACCTTATGTATTATATAATATATCGAGGAATGCAGTGATTACCCATAAATTGGTGTTTTTTTTTGTTTTTAATGACGGAGGGTAAAATTCCCTCTTCAATCAGGCAAGCAAGCAATGTCAATCCATTTTTTATAATCTCTCTTCTACTTTATGTAACTAAACTAGATCATTTCACCCACGGTTAAGATTAGAATTTTTTTAATATAAAGAATATATCTAGATCTTGCTTATATTTTCTTTAGCTAAAAAAAATTAAACCATATAAGAATTAATTTAGTATATCTCGATCATCTTGATTGATTCAAAAGCAATATAAATGACTAATAAAAATATAATTTAATTTAAAATAAATATATAAAATGAGGTTTTTTTATAAGTATTAATACGATAATATATTAAAAAATAAAATTAAAGAGAGGATAACCTCGAGTCAAGATATATCAAACTTATGGCTTGAGCCATAACATGAGTATGGGACTCTATCAATAACCTTATGTATTGTATAATATATCGAGGAGTGCAGTGATTGCCCATGGGTTTTTTTTATTTTTTTTTAATGAAGGAGGGTAAAATTCCCTCTTCAATTAGGCAAGCAAGCAATGTCAATCCATTTTTTATAATCTCTCTTCTACTTTATGTAACTAAACTAGATCATTTCACCCACGGTTAAGATTAGAATTTTTTTAATATAAAGAATATATCTAGATCTTGCTTATATTTTCTTTAGCTAAAAAAAATTAAACCATATAAGAATTAATTTAGTATATCTCGATCATCTTGATTGATTCAAAAGCAATATAAATGACTAATAAAAATATAATTTAATTTAAAATAAATATATAAAATGAGGTTTTTTTATAAGTATTAATACGATAATATATTAAAAAATAAAATTAAAGAGAGGATAACCTCGAGTCAAGATATATCAAACTTATGGCTTGAGCCATAACATGAGAATAATCTTATAAAAAATAAATTAAAATAAATTATAAAGTCTATTTTTTTATTAATATTATATTAAAAGATAAAATTAAAAAGAAAAGGTCAATTAAAAGAAAGAAAAAAAAACTAGAGTAATTGAGTTAACTCATAAAACTCGTGTCTGAATTATAAATCTAGGATAGCCTCATAAAAAATAAATTAAAAAGAATATAAAATTTAATCCTCACTTATAATCTCTCTTCTACTTTATGTAACTACACTAGATCATTTCGCCCACGGTTAAGATTAGATTTTTTTTTAATATAAAAAATATATCTAGATCTTGCTTATATTTTCTCTAGCTAAAAAAAAAGTTAAACTATACAAGAATTAATTTAGTATATCTCGATCATCTTAATTGGTTAAAAGATAATATAAATGACCAGTAAAAATATAGTTTAATTTAAAATAAATATTTAAAATGAAATTTTTTTAATAAATATTGGTACAATAATATATTAAAAAGTAAAATTAAAGGGAGGATAATCTCAAGTCAAGATATATCAAACTCATGGCTTGAGACGTGACATAAAAATAATCTCATAAAAATATATTGAAACAAATTACAAAATTTAATTTTTAATCAATTTCATATTAAAAGATAAAATTGAGGAGGAAAAGTCAATTTAAAAAAAAAACTAGAATAACTGATTAACCCATAAAATTTATGGTATGAGTTATAAATTTAGGATAACCTCATAAAAAATAAATTAAAAAAATAAAGTTTGATCATCAATAAATCTAATTTTTAATAATAAAATTAAAATTAAAATTAAAAATAGATTAAAAAGAAAAAATATACTATTATTAGTAAATAGTAAGAATTAATTTAGTATATCTCGATCATCTTAATTGGTTAAAAGATAATATAAATGACCAGTAAAAATATAGTTTAATTTAAAATAAATATTTAAAATGAAATTTTTTTAATAAAT